CAATATTTTTCTCTCGGATCAACTCCTTGACCATACCCAAAATAATTAAATACATCAACTATTTATAGGATTAATAATCAAGTAGAAGAGTTTAATTTAAACTCAAACAAGACTCCTTTAATTTAATAAGGATTCCTTCATGTGCAAGACTCCAAAATTGACTGTAAATTGAAAATCAAATTCTGCTCTCAACTTTAATTAGAAGTATTCCATACAATGACTACCTTTTACTTTTTGCAATAGAAGTCCTCCAACTTTTAACGCTTGAGGCAATTACCCAACAAAATAGATTTTGAAATAGTGCTTTTCCGTAAAAAATGTGCTAAAAAAAATATGAATTTTTTTCTAATTGAATGTGTGATTGAAGATGAGTTTTAGAAAATAAATTTTGAAAAAAATAGAGCTCCCTATTAATACACCCTTTATTTTTGTAAAAACCCCTCCGTTAGTTGTCTTACTATTTCAACTACACATTTTTCAAAAATATTACTTTTCACAAAATTTACATAAAAAGGCCCCTAAACAAGCAAAGACGACAAAACAACGTACTTGCATAGTATATCTGCTGGCGGTGGCCCAGTCTGAATTGCCTTCAAACAACCAAAGAGCATACATGACATCACTTGGACACACCAGTTTAATTTTGATCTCTTCACGTTAATTTGGAAATGAGAAAATTGCAACTGCCTCATTTTTCCTCCCCTTTATGTTCCATTCTAAAAAGTGCCGTTTGTTGTTTTCCGGCTGCTGGAATGTTCAATCTTCGAGTCTCATAGCAGCATTATTAGGAGGCAACAGCCTTCCACTGGTGTTATTTTTTCGTGTTCATCAACGTTAACACTCATCTTCTTCGTCCTCTATTGCAACAACTAGACGTCTCCCTTTCCTCTCACCCTCACTCTGTTGGAATTTTGTATATGACAGGCCTCATTTTCAACGATTTATAGCACTCCGCTTGATCCAAAAACAAAATTTGATGTCTGTCAGATTCTATCGTCACATTTACAAGGTAGAGATATAGCAAAACAGAATTACACGCACAACTCTGGAGAATAGCACCTACATAAAGCACGATGGAGACCAATTTTCCTCAATAATAAAATCATTTATGAAAAAACATACATAACACGTATCAATACAAAAAGTTGAAAAACTGTTGCAATACAGAAGCATTACATAAATCATACAAACTAAAGGAGGAGCTCAAGTATGACTCGGTGTCTGAAATCACTGGTAATACATGAGATGCTGGGTGGCAGCTACATTCTGGAAACCACCATCATATATAGCCTGGCTTGCAGCAGCACCCATTCCCATGGATGCTTGCTTCCCATGGGGTTGCATGAGGGCATGAACACCACTCATCTTGCTCAAACCGAGTTGCCGTTCATAAGCCAAAAGGTCAGTTGCTGAAATGCCTGGCGAGGGTCCAGGGGCAGGAGGCGCGAGAGGGTTTGAGCTTGACCCAGGTGGAGTTGGCTTGTTACCCCATGAACACTGAAGGCATCCAAAAAAATTTCCAAAACAATAAACCTAAAAATACATTCAGTAATTTTACTCCAGACAACCTACGGTAGAAACATGACTAAAAAGTCGGGAAATGATTGGTAGGTTAATCTATCGCATTCCACATCTCCCACTACAGGTAGATGTTGACAAAATGGATGTTCACACATTTCTGCTGCCTTGCTAATGAAAACTACCTATAACCAAAACCTCTACATGCAAGTAAAAACTGAAAGAAAGTGATCAGCAAACTTATAACAACATTCCTGAATATATACAATTTCAGTGCTGCTTGATTTAAATAAAATGGTTGTTTTTAAATTGCGGCAACATACCAATAAAAAAATAAAAGATGGAGAAGATTCAAGGATTTCCAAGAAAAGGGAGGTGAAATTATGTGCCATATCTGGAACTCACATGGATTGAAAAGAGAACATGTTAAATTCATTATTGTTTTTCAAAAAATGGCTTGACTAAATACGTTACGTGGAGCCCACAACTGATATAATTACTAAAATTAATTTAAGACAAACCTTAATTTGTTTTCCACAGAGAAATGTATTTCCCATTGAAATAGCCATTGCAGCCTCCTCATGGGTACTGTATCTTACAAAACCAAACCCTTTATCACGCTGAATGCGAACTTCCTCAATTGCTCCAGCACCAAGGGCATGGAAGTGGCGATGGAGATCAACCTGGGTTACCTGGCAAAATGAAGGCGTAGGCAGAAAGATTGGAAAACACATATTTTAAGGATTTAAAAGCTTCTAGAAATTCTTTTCCTTTCAGTATTAGAAAACCAATAACACTGTCCACGAGCATCAGAAGTACTTACTGACTTGAATCAAGTGTACACTAAAAACAGAAACTGAAAATAAATCTTGCTAGACAGAATTCTTTTGTGGGGCTTGGGGGAAGGTGTTGCATGTTGGAAAAGAACAATAAGCACAAGGGAAAGAGCTTCTTGCCTCTGGAGCAAGATTACCGACATACACAGTTGTGTACAGAGGGTTATTCTCGGGAGCATCACTATTTGCTGCCTCTTTAACATCTTCTGTCAAAACAAAAACCAATTAATCTAAATATTATTGACCTCAATTGATAATGATGGGCAAATCATAGAATCATCAATATATCATTAAATTAATCACAAAACCACACCTAGATCAAAATTTATGGCAACATGGAAAATAAATTACTCATATGTAAGCAATCCATGCCACTTTCTTATTTTAGAGCAATCACTACCATTGGTCTTTTCTGCAAAAGCATTTTCTATACATTTCTCATGAATTCTTATTGCAATTTTCATCCAAACTTGCTCACCGGAGGAGCCATTTGTCAGTTCCACGACACTTTTAGAATCGGCATTCTGCATGTCATCACTGGCACCAGCACCTTTTGCGGACCAGTTACAGCGCATCTGCCTACTGCCCAGCCATTTTCCTGATAAATTGACAAATAGAAAAGTATTGCCTAAGCTTTGTGATCTTTTGCTTATGAAAAGATCGTAACACATCATAGCCATGCCAAAATATCAAAACAGATACATGCAAATAAAACATATGAAAAGAAATGGTTCACACTGTGCTGACCAGTTAGATCATTGATTGCACTTTGGGCATCCTGAAAGGAAAATCCACGAATTAAACTAGAAAAGAGGAAAATTGCACGTTCCAAAATAAATTCAAATTAATGCACGAAAATATACCTGCTGACTCCGGAAGGAGACAAACCCATATCCCCTAGAGCGTCCAGTCTTCTGGTCCCACATAACCCTTGCATCACTAAAGACCAAAACAAAACAATCAGCACCTCGTAAATTAAACTACTTAATTAATTTCTAGCAAAACTAATATTTCCCTTTCTTTTGTCCTCGTGTTCGTACAAAACTAGCCTCACAATCCCCTATTCCACTAAAAAAAGTAGTCTGGGACGAAGATTGAAATCAAGAAAAAGAGCATGCCTGTGAGTGAATGCATATACATGCAACAAATAAAAGATATATGGGGGGAGCTTACGAACAACTTGGGTAAACAGAAAAGCATGTGAACAACATGGCATCAGTAACCTCAGGACTGAGATCACCAACAAAAATATTGTAGTGACCTACATAGAAGGTATAAAGTGTCATTGCACCAAAAATCACAAGACACCAACTTGATAACGAGAAAACGAAACACACATATGAAATCATAAAACTATGGACCCACTTGATGTGTCCTCCCTCTGACCACTAGCATATGCCCAGTTAACTTTAATAGGCAGCCCAAACCTGAAAAATGCATAATTAGATATATATACACGTCCGAATTCGAAAAGATTTTAATATTGGACCTTCAATATTTCCTACTCACAGATGTCTTCCATTAAGAGATAGTATCGCAAGTCCAGCTGATCTACGATCAAAATAATGGATAAACCCATAGCATGACTGCAATTGACCAAAGCATATTATAAATACAAGAAAAATCATCATTACTAGAAATCTAAGTCCATGCCTGCCAACTTGTTGTGCATGTGACTCATATAGAGTGGAACATAGGTCCTGAATCAAATGGACCGATGCCGTCGTGAAGCGGGGTGGAGTGAGAGGAGCGGAGCGACGGCATTGGCCTTGCGTAGGTTTAATTCACTGTTTGGTTGTTAGGAACGCTGAATGGTTTGGAGGTGCTGGGGCAACGCCCCCGCGATACAGTATAGGGGTATTTCTTGTACGGATCTTAAAGTCTTATATGGGTCCAGGTTTGGGTTAATATAAATAATATGTTGTAATCCTATTTTTCAAAACTAAATAAAAATATCTCCGCTTCGCTCTCGTGGATGTAGGCACACCGCTGAACCACGTAAATTCTTGTGTTGATTTTTTTTTCCATCTCTTTAATTTTGCGCATAAAATCCAACACAACTTATAATTATAAATCACCAGAAACAGCACACATAAGATTTACCTTTTCTTTTCTAACAAGCTTACAGCTTTCCACAGGACCAGTGCTTGCAAAAACTTCTTGAAGAAGTGGCTCAGTTACCTGCGTGTGAATGTTTCCAACATACCTGCATTTCCTCAAAAATAAAAAACCTAGAAGTTCAAAAGAAAAGAAACAAAGAAAAATAGTCAAAATTATAAGGATTCCCTCCAGAGATTACAAAACGAGATGATACTAAATAAAGCAGCACATATATGTTAAACAAGAGAATAACGACAAAAAAATTTTATGCTACAAAATAGAGAAGATCAATAAAGCCACTAAAAATTTTGACCGATTAAGTTTTGGTTATGCAAATGGCAGCAAGGCACGTGACAGACAGTAATGATGTGAAGGTTCATAGGACTCATTAAAGACAGATTCAAAACATTCACGATGACACAAGCTGGGAAATCACGGAAAAAGAGAAAAGAAACAAAACTAAAAAACTGTCTAAACAACACTCACACACTGCGGCATGTACTTGGATCAAACCCAGGAGGCAGATTTCCACTCGGGATTGGCTCAATCTGCAAAAATAGAAAATTAAAAAAAATAAAAAATAAAAATAAAAAAAACGAAAGGAAAGGAACTTCCTAATTTATATCCCACGTCAACCTTCAACTCAAGGGAATAAAGGAAAAAGAAGATAAGAAAACGATGAGGAAATGTTATTTAAATGTTATTGAAGACTAAATTGTAGTTGCTGTTGAACAAAAGCAGACAGCAAAAACAAATGCCAAGACATTCAGATAACAGAATGGCAATTTAAAAAACATAGGACATAATATAATTTATATCTGTAAAGTGTTCATATTGATAATGGAATTTTAGATCAGAAATGTCCATAAAGGTAACACACCCCAGAGCACAAGATACATCATTTCCCTATCAAGCTTCTTTTCCTTCGGATTCCCAACCATATCTCTTTTTAATTCTCAACCAGCGGCAAATGCAGCTTTTCTTAAAAAGGTTGACAACTATGGACAACCATATAACCTCTGTCTTCAGCAACAACCCATCCGCTCTCAACACAGCAGGGCAACAGGAAATTCTTTCTTATAAGTTGTTCACATAAACTCAAACAATAAACATGCTACTTATTTGTATTAACCTTTCGCCTCCAAAGATATTTAATATCACAGCACTCGTTTATTGAAAAGAACACAAGAATTACCAGAACATTAAAACTATTACCAAAATATTGACAGAATCATAAAACTTGAACATGCATCGAAACATGTATAACAAACAAAGGTACTTCTCCAAGGAAAAAAAAATAATAGGAATAAAACACGCAATGATATACAAGAAAGGGGGGAAATCCGACTTTACAACCTCAACTCCAACCTCCTACATAATCTCAAAGTTCCCTTTTCAATGAAATCAAAATTCATGCGCAAATAATTAGACCAGTTTCCAAAAAGCCAATGAAAACAACCTTGATTTCACAAAACTCGGGGAGGAGACAGCACAATGGAGTGATCGTTAAAATAAAGTACTTTTGCACGAAATCAGGAGGATGGAAAACCAAAAACCAAACTGGTCGTATTAATGCACAACAAATGCTCATTGAGAAAAAACAACTACAAAATTGCAAAAACACGCACTCATACGACAAAAACACTCAACAAGCAAATAGCACTGAGTTATATTGATTACCACAGAAAATTAAAACAGAATACAGAAACTGGAACCTGAGGAGCAGCCAAGAGGCCAGGGTGATAAAGCGACTGTTGCTGAAGAAAAGCCTGCTGCATCAAGGCCTGCTGTTGTTGTTGCTGTTGCTTCAGTCTCTGATTCTGCATTTTCGGGGACTCTGATTTTAATTTACGTAAATCCACTTAACTTATTGATCGGAGAGAAATTCTAGGGTTCGAAACCAGGGATACAGAGAGAGAAGAAGGACCTCGAAGAAAAAAGGGGAGAGAGAGAGAGAGAGACGGATGCCCCAGCGACGAGGGGGAAATTGGATAGGTTAGTGGTCCGCGATGATAATACGGCCAATTATATCCGCGATGAGAAAGAGAAAAGCTCGACTCATTCCCAGCCTAATTTCCTTTTTCTAAAAAAAGATTGAGGATTCTGGGAATGTCACAAAATATATTTGGAGTACGAAAAACTTGTTTCGATATAAATTTTCTTATACATCATATATCGATGTGTGTAATTTACGTATGACCCTGATATCCATGAACCCGAGCCCAAGTTTTATGTATCCTTGAGCTCATCCTTCGGTCAAAACTTCCTCGGGTTCCTTGGCGTCGACTCACCCTCGATCTTTGATGAACTTCAGCATTGTGTACTCCAGGCTACTCTTTTCCCCACTATCGTCAAAGCTCCCTAACTTAAGAGGATTCTATTTTCAGAGTACAAATTCCTTCCTATATTGGTAGATTCACAATTTTCATAAAGTTCTAATGTCTAACTTTCATAGGACTCTCACGCCTTTTGAGACTCTTGAAGGGATAAGGCATCCAAGTAACCCAATCCTATTGAAATTGCATTGCTGAGTTCTATAAATAAATGGCCCTTACTCGTCTTTTGGGAAAGTTTATATTCTCCCTTTTTGCTAACTTAAGCACTTGAGAGACGTAGATGACATATTTCGAGGCCTTTGTTTCGGATCTTAGATCTTATCTTCGTGCTCGTTCTCAGTCATCAAGCTCAGTGTGCAAATTTTTGAAAACTTCATGTACCAAGTTATAGAAGTGTTCTATCGGTTTAAACTAAGTCCATGTTTGGGGCCATTTTTACGGAAAAACATTGATTTGAATAATGAATTTTTAGAAATGTGTAATTAGAAAGTAAGGAAAAATTTTGATTTTATGCGTAGATATTTTGCCTTTGTTTGGCCCTCATTTTTTCAAAATTCATTTTCAACCATACATTCTCAAATAAAATAATTTTATAAGAAAATTGATTTTTTTTTTCATTTTTTTAACTATATATTTTCCAAAATATCATTATTCCAAAATACTTATTTTTTTTTAACAAAATTTGGATAGGGATCTCGTAAAAACTTCTTTCGAGAAAAGGGATAGATCGGGCGATTTCTCAAGAACAATAGCTAAAAGATTCTATTTGAAACTCTTACATGTCCAGGGTTCAATATGAAAATAATTTGGGGGGCCAAAGATAGATTTTATTGTATGAATGTATGGATGAAAATGAATATATAATGAATATATAGGGGAAAAAAAGAATTTTGATTAAAAAAAAAAAAAGAGAGAGAGAGATAGAGACAAAAAGGAGCCAAGAGAGAATGATTTGAATTGAATTTGACCACCATTATGTATGAAAAATTTTAACTTTTTATCTCGAGAATAACTTTTTTTACATTTATATTCAACTGTAAATTCTTTAAAAACATCATATTTCACGTTTCTCCATAACCTTTTTACCACCAAAAAAATAAAAAATAAAAAAATTTAACAAGTACTATACAAGTGTTTCAAATAATAAAAACTAATTATTATTATTATTATTATTATTATTATTATTATTATTATTATTATTATCCACGGATACACATACAAGTTATTATTATTATTATTATTATTATTATTATTATTATTATTATTATCATCATCCACGGATACACATACAAGGGTGTCCCTCTCAAGATGTGGACACGGTTTGAAAATAGTAAGACAAAATATATCCTATGTCAATATGTAAATCCCAAATTCAAGATAAGGCATAGTTTACAAATATAGATAAAAATAGGATTAGTTTATTTGTACACATTTGATGTACATAATAGATGACACTCCTTCAAAGGGAGTGGAGTGTCAACAAATATGTACATGAAAATTGTACATGTATCACTACCCATAAAAATATTATGAGTGCTACTATATGTACGCCAAAATAGCCATCCCTCACAATGAGAGAGACCTACTTGAAGTCTCTCTTCATGTGAGAGGATGAACTAGATGGATACTGTTGACCCCAAAAAATATTGCCAACAGATTTCGAATCCACCCATGCACACGTAAGTTTAGTCTAACACGCTAAGACAAATAGACGGTCTCAAATGGACCGATCAAGGGTATGGGAGCGGCTCAACAATGCAGGCCGAGAACGTTCGGAATTCGACGAGATGTTGGCATAATGATTGTACAATAATTACCCATCGATGTTTGTAGAATGCGAGTACGAATTTTGTTCACGAAATTATTTCTTTTGATTTAAAATTATCGCAAGTGTACGGTTCGTTAACAAATAATAAAGTAGATTAAATGAGTTCGAATATCGTCCCATAGATATTGATTAGTTCAATTTTACCTATCGTCGCTTTAACCAAAACTAAATTACTAAAGTGGATGTGAATCTAATTAAAACCCTAATTTTGGAAAGAAAACCTTAATTATGCAATTTTTATGATTGACTTAAATTAAATATGCAAAACAATATTTTTTTAACACTCTAAAATGAAATCAAATGTTGAGAACGCACGTTTGTTGTAATCAATAGAAATTAAACACACTAGGATCAAGATTTTCCATGCAATTATCACTTTAAAACCCTAGTTTCACATTGTGACAACACACTTCAATTGTGAGGAATCAATGTTCCTAAGTCTATCCAATACTCTCTCTCGAGATGTATCGAACCTATTTCTACATATCACCGGCCTATATTTCTATAACAAGTGCATACGTAAAAATGCATGCGATTTTATGAACGCTTAAAGATTCACGTAGGGTATAGCGGTATATTTTTATCCCTTGTAGGACCCTACAATGATTTATATTATGTCGAACCTATCTCAATTCTCTCGAATGCAATAATAAATCACCCAAACTTACACAATTACGGACCCTTAATTGCGGAAACAATAATTGCATATAAATCATTCAAAACAATAGAAATATGTCTTAATGTTAAATTACAAAACTAGAAAATTAAAGATCAAATTACATGGTACATCTATCTCCTAGCACATGAAAATTTTGCCTAATATGGTTAAAATAAAAGAATACATCAGATTTTGGATAAAAGGCATCACCGGATTATGAAATCTTGAGAAATCTTGAAGTTCTTCGTGTAAATCTTCGTTCTTGCGCTCAAAATCCTCTCCAATAAGTGTTTTTTTTTGCCTCTAATACATTATAACTTTCTCTCCTGATCTCCGATTGAAGTGATTCAAAGTGCATTGGCAAGAAAACTCAAAGATATACAATTTTGATAGAAATAGGCTTTCTCAAATTCTGATATTTACTGTGCCAAAAATGGATCTCAAGTATAGACTAAAAATTACGAGCATAACTTTTTCGATTGAAAGTTGATACTTGATAATACTTCGACCATATTTCACCTCTTTGACTCATTTCCTCATCTGATTGACCTCTAACACTCTTGAATCTTCATTTCATTGCCCGTCTCATCTATGAATTATTTGCAACTTGGTCCCTGAACTTTCAGTTTCTTCAACTTTAGTCCGTTTTCGCTTGTTTCTTTTATTTCCATCATCTCATAATATCACCAAATTGGTACTTAGCTCATTCACTTCCTTGATTTGTCCTTCGGACCATCTTTTGGATAATTGCACTTTGGTCCCTGAACTTTTATTTTCTTTCATTTTGCTCATTTTTTGAATCTTTTTCTCATGAATTCCATCATATCTATCAATATGGCCATATAACATGAAATTGCATAAAATTAAGTCATAATCAACCAATTTTATCAATAATTAGTCATATTTTGTGGACCAAGTATTGCGAGATGGTAAACAGGTTGTTGAATAAAGTGTATTAAAAGAGTAAAGAATATGTAATCTTGATTCTTGTATTGAATCTTGCATTATTCTTGTGAGAGATGCATGAGGGAGTATTTATAGTATTAGAAGTTAGATCAAAGCCCTCAGTTGGGAATACACGTGGACTCATCTCGTAAGTTTACATGTCAAATTATAGATATCACATTTGACTTTCTAGCCTGCTACACATTTATTAATCGACGGAGCCGTCGCTACTTTGAAAAGACAAGATGCTTGCACTCTATGATGGGTGTCCCATCAATCAACCAAAAAGGATCCTTGTGTAAGGTCGGATCTCCGGGGAGGAGTGCTGCTTAGGGCATCCGGGCCTCGGCAAGACAGATCACCTTGGCCTATTCACTTCGGCGTCAGCATTTGGACCACCTCATGTGTGTTGTTTCAGTATGCTGATTGACTTCTGTTGGCCNCACCTTGGCCTATTCACTTCGGCGTCAGCATTTGGACCACCTCATGTGTGTTGTTTCAGTATGCTGATTGACTTCTGTTGGCCTGGGAGCTTTGGCTGGGATGCCACGTGGTTTGAGATGAGTGGGCCATGGGCCCCAGTAAGTCAGCCAAGTGTGTCAACACGTAACAGATACCACTTGATGTACAAGTAACATTATTCAAATATTTTATGGTTCACAAATTAAACATAATTTTTAAGTGCGACTGTCGAGATTGGAATTGAAACGAGAACTGAAACACGAAGCAACTTGGTTGGCCCTGCTAATTGACTACCTCTATTATTTATCCAGTTAGTGACTTTCTAATTTTAGTTTTACATTTATTAAGTTATTCACCTTTACACTCTTTAAAAAAATAAATAAATAAATAAATCAAAATACGAATCAAAATCAATGACGTGATAAAATTTTGCTCACTCACTTTGAGTCCTTGCCAGACCAAGTTCACCTCATCCGTACCCATCAGCCACCAACCCTTGGCCAGCTTTAAAATCCACAATCAACCCTCAGCCACCTTTAAAGTTTGCCACCAAACGCCACTAGCTCAATACTTGTAGTAGTATGTCACATTCTGAAATTCAAGGCTGCGTACTAAGAAGAAAAAGACCGCAAAATTGTATTACTTGTATGATAATTTAGGAGCTACAACACAACTACTCTTGAATCTAACAAAACAAACTTATATGCCAAATCCTACCGAGAATCTTCTAATTGATGATGTATACAATATTGATTCAAGAAAAGTTCTCTAAATCCTAAAGACAAAAATGGCTATAAGCCTATAATTTGAGCTCAAGCTGTTCATCACTCTTGGAAGAAGATGCTGGCTGTTCTTGAATTTGATAAGGCCCCCTAGCAACGGCTCTGTATCAACAGAAATCGAAAATTAAAACAAAGTCAGATATGCCTTTAATTTGCATTTTTCCTTTTCGAAATCATAGTTCATTCAGAAAGTTGCACACCTATCTTTCCTCTTCTCCAGGAATCGATGAAGTGATGATCTCCTTGCAATTGGCAAATCTGAAGAATAAAAGATTCAATTAATACTTATTTAAGTAAAATGACATTTCTTGCTAACTTTTCATTGGAAAATCATAATTTCATTAGAAGGCAAATGCAATTACCAGAAACATTAGCTTCGGATTGTGGTGGAATCATGTTCTGTGATTTAGATAATGAGGCCATAACACCACCAGTGTTTGTTTTCTCTTCCACAGAGCTCGACGATGTGCCAATGGCCAAGTGAGAACCTTTATTTTCAGGCTGTGGAGAGAGCCAATCTCGCACACCAGAGCTAGATGCCACAGCACCACCAGGATTCATTTTCACTTTAACAGGGTCTGACAAAACACCACTATCCTTGCAAGAACTATTTGTTCTCCATAGAGGTCGAAGCCATTCTTGCACACCAGAGGCAGACATCACCGCACCGCCTGTATTCATTTTCTCTATGACGGGGTACGAAAAAAGGCCAGTAGCCTTGCGAGAACCATTAGCTTCAGGTTTTGGTGCAAGCCATTCTTGTGCACCATAGCTAGGTGCCGCAGCACCATCAACCACTTTTTCTATGACAAAGTTTGAAAATATGCCATTAGCCTTGCGAGAACCAATAGATCGAGGCTGTTGCAAAAGCCATCCGTGTGCACCAGAGCTAGAACCACTAGTATTCATTTTCTCATTAAAGGTATTCGAAAAAATGCCACCAGCCTCAAGAGAACCGTCAACTTGGGTTGGTAGTGGACGCCATTCTTGTGCAGCAGAGCTAGAGGCCACACCACCGTCAGGAATCACTTTCTCTTTGCCAGTAGCCATATTGGAGTTTATGTTGCTAGCCAACTGCACCAGTTCCCAGGCTTTTTCAGCCGGAAAATCGTCAAATACAAGAACTCTACCCGCATAAAACATTGTCAATGGAGCATTGTTAGGCGCCATTATTGCATCTTTGCTGAAATCAGGAAAGAATATTTAAGGCTGGATCTACAGTTTTTAGAAATTATGCAGAAATAGATATGAAAAAGGAAACAAACCTTGTGCTAGATTCATTCGAAGCATCTTCTATATTAATGGATGTAAGCTGCGATGATACGGGCCTCACTGAAAGAAGTAAAAAGATTTAGCCCAAACTTATAATCAATAATCTTCTTAGCCAGAATACAGGTGAAATAATAATTAAAATCATCGCTGATAAACACAACAGGATAATTTCTTTTCATTTCGGCAGATCTACAAGTTGGAGTGTCTTTCAGGAAATATATCAAACAACTTCACAACAATATTAAGAAAAAATGAAATTATACTTATGGATTCGAGGCTCTCCACCTGTCCACCAATTTCAAGATTCAAATTTCTGAGATTCCCCTTCTTCTTAATATACCGACTCAAAAGATTGCATGTGTGCACAAAGTTGGACTTCTCCGGCGCAGGCTCCTTGCCGACTCTTCCGCTATCTGAAAGGTGGCGAGAACTTGACATGATTTTCCAGCCAAATTCTCAAATCTCAATATTCTTTGAAGAGAGTTTTTAAGCAAGCTTTTTTTCATTCAATCTTCTGGTTTGTGTGAAGAAGAAGAATATATATGGTGGTGGACAAAGACTTACCAATATGGCAATATCTCCGTGCTTTGCTTCTAGTTAGGCCAGCTTTTTACGGTGTGTGGAATGGTTTTAAGCACGTGAAAGTCGCCTTCAAATAACCCCAGTTTAGTAATGGCAAGAAACTTCGCCCCGCGGGCCTGAAATGGGGCAAATAAACTTGCCCCGAAAGTGTCGGCAGCGTAGGGCAAGGCGTGGGACGGGGTGGGTTGAGGATGCTTAATCCCATGAAGGGGGAAAAAATATTAAAAATAATTTTACTTTTAGACAATTTACTTATTAAAAATTATTTTGAATTTGTATTTTATTCTAACGTAACTTGAAATTTTGAAAAAATAAAAAGAAATAAAAAAATTAAACGGGGCAACAACGAGACAAAATGTTGCCCCATCCCCACGCCGCATGCCCTGTGTTCCCCTATCTAATGTGGGGTAGGGCGTGATTTGGGCGAGATGGGGCGCTCTAACCCCGCCCCGTTGCCATCCCTACCCCAATTCTGTAAATAATAATTCAAAAGTAAACAACTACTTCATGCCATTAATTTTTATTTTTATTTTTTGAAAAAAAAAATTGAAATAATGATTTGTTGAATAATGTATTGTTAAAATGAAAGTAAAAATTTTTGAATTTACGTGCAAATTATTTTATTGTATGAATATGTAGTTGAAAATGAATTTTGAAAAAAAAAAAAAAAAAAAGCTATTGTAAAAATGGGGGGCTGAACATAGGCTCAGTATGCTTTGGGAGAAAAATTTTGTTGAGGTCCCTAACATTTTTAAAAGTATAAATATATTTTTAAAAGAGTAAAAAAAATATAATAATATAGATAAAAAGGATATTCATTCAAAAAAAAAAAGAAGAAAGGAATATTTCCAAAAATGAAATCTTTATCTTTCCTAGTTCGAGCAACATTACAATCCCCTACGCCAACCTCTACCCTAACCCACAACATCCCAACAGTCAAGGTACCACCCACCCAAGTCACCATTCACCTCTAGTACTACATATGGCTTTTTGGGTTCGAATTGACTTGACTAATCTGTGTTGGAAAAACAATTAGGAATGAAGAAGAAACAACGAAATCAAGAAAAAATACAGCAACAAGATGAAGAAACACGAATGCTGTCAGGAACAATTTCAAAGGCTCGAACGTGGTATTGCTATCCTCAAACGTTATTTGCCCCCTCTTCGGTGTTTATGAGATGCTCCAGAGTTTTTGGCAAATGGGTTGGAGGATTATAACAGGCCTTGTTGTAGAAAATAAATTTGATATGTAAGGAAAAGATTGGATGAAAAAATTGATTTGACTTTAAATTGAAAAATGATAGAGCGTCATGCTGTGTTATATAATCCATTATGTAAATCTTAATATACATATAACACAATTCATATATACTTAAGAAGGCTATGGTACATGTACATTTTTAATATACGTAATCGTTTATACCCTTCACATGGAGAGAGGCCCACATATAATTGATTATACGCAGACTTCTCTACATGTGAGAGGGTGTAAAGGATTATGTTCATTCAAAACTTACAAATAGATTTATTTAAAAATTGATGTAAGACCAATTAAGCACGGGTTTAGAGTCTTGCGTGCCGAAAGCAGCAGCATTATTCTTTGTTGGAAGAAAAGCAATTTGCAAAGAGCCGCCCTACGTGGAACAATCATCAGTTTGCCCCTATGCGTCCCACTACGCCTATTTTCATACAGCTCATTTGGAACAAAGAAAACGTGTTCAATTATCTAAATATTTCATTTTTCTATGGTAACAAACTAAATTAATTAATTTATTATTTATTTATTTTTTCTGAAGACATGGAAAGATTGGATCATCATCAAAAAAGGGCTGCAGATTCTGATGGCCCCTGTTCGAAGGCAACTTGTGATGAGAAGCTCAAAGGGCGATCAGTGAGCAAAGAATCGCAGCCAAAAAAGATAAAAAGAAGGAAACACCCTTCATATATCTTCCAGAAGTTAGCAACAGGATTTGACCCTCCATGTTCACAGTTAGCCGAAGTTATAATGTTTGATTTAATTTGAGTCTCTTGATTAGGGTTCGTAGGTTGATTGTAATTTTTGTTTTTGTAAGTCTAGGAAAATTTTGATCAATACACTTTTATTTACCCGATAAAAAAATGGAAAGGAATAAATTAAGCTTTACTAATTCTTTTTAAACTTCACCTAGATAGGAACAAAGCTATGAACTTGCAATATTCATCTCTATTTAAAAAATTTTGCAAATCCGTGGAATGCATTGGTGATGCTCTTAAGAAATGTGATCTAAAGAATTTTGTGAAAGTTAACAACTAGACCCATAAGTGAGTGCCACGTGTCATAGTTAGAACTATATTTTAAGTTCTTCAAAGATGAAGTGACACTGTCCCGAAACAATAAGGGGGTGTTTGAGCCACATTATTTTGAAAATAATGCATTCTTGAATAGTGTATTGATGTGAAATGTATGGTTAAAAAATAAGGAAAAGTTTTTTATTTGCGTGTAATATTATTTTATTGAAGAATGTATGGTTGAAATAATGCAAATTACTGTTTAAGAATGCATTTTTTTTCAAATAATTTGGCTCAAACAGGCCCTAAAAAGATTGAAACTTGAAACTTGAAACTTGAAAGGCTTATAGACTTAGAATATCTATAAATATTCCATAAAATTACCCTAGTCGGATTCTTGCTTAGCTTTACTTTGTGACAATTTTCACTCACTCCAATGATCGAAATGTGGGTATCCCATAATGCAAGATTATGATTGAAAATGAGGTGAGCCCGACGAATTGGACTTGAGATGGATCCTAGACTTGATTATGAGGCGATATGTGGTAGATTGCAATTGAGCCATTAACTATGGCTTTTGGATAAAGTAGTAACAATACCTGTATCATATTGGTATTAGAGCTGAATGTCCCCTCTTCAAATCGATTTTAGAGCATTCTCGTGAAGTGGGTAGATAATATAAAATCATGCTTGAAACGAAGGTGGGATTGATGGATTGATCTTGGGGTGATGCCTGGTTGGTGATATCAGGGGAATAATATTTGTGTCATCAACTATAGCTTCTGGAGAAAGTAGTAACAATATAGAATATACTGATTAATAGAAGATTGAGAATGAGAATGCCACAAAAAAAAGTAAGAATTCAATAATAAACAAAGAACGAAGAACTTTAGTGCAATTAAAAATGGTATTGTAATGGGATTATAAACACCTTTAAAATATTTGATAATGGACCACTTCCCATGCCCAGTTTGTCCCAACAATGAAAAATTGAAATATAATGGATAAATTTTTTTTGTCTGGTACAAAGTTCGGTCTAATTGAAATTATGGTTAACTTGATGGTACATGAAATTTCTTTTGAGAGAAACGTACGCAGTTATATTTAAATTTGAAGTTGACTCGTATCAATTTATTGTTAAGAAAGACACGAAAAGAAACCTGTAAAATTGGTTTTCATGTTATTTTTGAACAAGAGAAGAAAAAATTTCACAATTTACATCATGTGGTTCAAATAATTGATCAGGACGACTAGTAGAGAGAGAATGACCCCTGCTATGTCAGGTAGCCTATCATGAAATGACGACTATCGTAGTGTCAGCTCGACCGATACTACTTTCACTTGTTCATAAGGTACAGACAAGTTTGGCATGTTAAGTAATGCTCGTCATATTAGAGTGCTAATTACTATGCTAATCCGACCCCGCCACGTGCGGAGCCACCGTCATCTACTCAAACAACATTGGAATCAGTCAACAACCATCCGAACTGCTATTATTAAACCCACTACCCGGGTAACCGAATAAATGGAAAAACCCGTCTGAAGAGTGGGTAAGTCTCATAAGGACGCGTGGATGACAACTGCACAGCGGTTACGTGATGCTAAACTGATGGGTACACGTGGATGGCAACTGCCCAGCGATTACGTGATGCCAGACGCCTATAAATATCCCATGAACGTGTCAGGTAAAAGGGGTTCTTTCTTTTTCCAAGATAAATTCTTTCCTCTTTCACTACTACATTTCTTTAACGTCATTTATCTAAAAACGATTACTAACTCTCACGCTGGAGGTAAAACGTGGGAGGGAGCCCCAACCTCTTTTTCCAAGATTACCAGAGGACAAAAGACCAATTATTTCATTGAAAAACATACAGAGTTACACTAGAATTATTTCAATAAGGTTGCTACAGGTTACTCACAAACAAGTGGGTCCCATGATTTTATGGATATTTTTTTAATAAAGTGGGGCCCACCTATTTGTGAGAGCATGTACAAACCTTGTGAAATTTTCTCCAGGTAATGTAGCATTTCTCTTTGAACAATTCTCCAACTTATTTGAAAAGTACACCTGAAATCGTGAGAGTTTCGCAGACTTCTTTATTAAAATGAAGGGAAAGACAAACTAACAAAGAACTTAAGAGATTATATAGAAGCTTACATTATATTATAATTTTATGAATTATAGGATAGAGTTAAATTAAAATTGTTCAATTTACGAGCCACACTTCCATTAGTTTTCTTTGTAGTTTATGACTTTTAAAAGACAATTGAATAATAATCAATTTATCGAACCATTTTCTTTTTTCATGTATTGCAACAAATTAAATTTATTTTTTGAATAAATTTAAAATTAATTAAAATATTTCTTTTTCTTTGTTATGTTCATTTTATTAGATTATTATCTACATTTTATGTTAAATCTAATAACCATAAGTCTTTTAACAAATTTTAGAAGTATTTTTTTAATTATTGGAACACTTCCAACGCCCCCAATTTGTCCCCGCCGCAACACTATTTTCGTGTGGAATAATTCATCTTTATATAGATGGGAACCATATAATTTAGTCTATACATGTACATGCTTGCCTCTTTTTAATGACCTTTCCAAGAAATAAATTGAATTGTATTTGACGGTTTTGCTAGTGGTAGATTGAGATGTACTTAATGGTGTACACCCTACTCACATGGGCGAGGGACTCATTCGAATAAAATATCATTTCTTTCACATGAGTTCCATACTCATGTAAGTGGGGTGTACACCATTCGGTACACTCCATTAAAT